AAAAAAGAAAAAAAAAAGGAGAAAATGAATTTTTTCGCCTTCCCTTGTGTCTTAGGCCCGGTTACCTCACTAATCATCGCGCCCGATGTTGCTCTCTCTCAAAAGAAAGGTGGATTTGGTTTAGTGGCTCACCATACAATTTTTTTTCTCTCTTTTTTTTTTCTTTTGTGGTATGTTAATTTGTTGGTAAATAGTTACAAGTCCTATTTCCAGTACTTGAGTAATCAAATAAATATGTTATCAGATGCAGTTTTGAAAACATCACTTTTAATCATAACCAAAAAGATGAGGCAGCTAAACACACCTTTTGATTGGGAGCTCATAGTTTGTAGTAGCATATTGAGGTGTATTTGTACTTGGACACAATATGTGTTTCTGTAATTATTAAGCTTCTTTTTAGTTTTTGCAAGACTTTCAGACCGATGAGTAGTTTGTTTTATCCGCCCAAAACAATCCGGTCTATCTGTCCAAGATTAAAACAATACTGAACAAAATTTACCTACCCTTCGGCAGTATTAAGTATCAAGTTGTGTTTTTTCTTTTGAAAGCAGTTATTCGAGAGTCATGGTTCTTAAGCATATCAATTTCTATTTAATATCAACAGTCTTAACTCGCTGAGTGTAGACTGGTTTGTTGTGCCGATACCACTTCAAGAGCGATAGAAGGTTGGTCAAAGGAGAACATTTTTGTTTTTTTTTTCCTTGTCGCAGGTTGATGTCCTGTAAATTGATTGCGGTTATAAACATTTGTTCTCTAATGCACCTCATGTAACAAATTCGGTAAAATAGTTTTAGTTGTTATCAGTTTGGTTTTTAGCAACAAGTTTGACGTTTGTTGATTGTTAAAAAATTGAAAAATAAAGTGGCAAGGTAATGGATTGTTAACAGTGCAGTATCAAGCATGCAACGTTTTCTTTTCAAAAGCAACAGAGTTTTTTTGTTAGTTTTATTACCTCATGCAAAAACCAATGCAAGATCAGAGGGAGCTGGTAATTATGTATTGGTTTTTTCACCGGTCAAATTTATGACTATTGATCTTTGGTCAATAAACAAAAAATTTGTTGCTGGTCTACCGGTCAGTTTACCGCCTTTAAGCCGCTAAGTATTGGTTGTTAATTGGTTGAACAGACTAAATTAAACAACACTGATTATTGAACATTTCCATTATAGAATTAGACAAGGTATTCTGATCACTAACTTTCACTGGATGCATTGACGTCTTAGGTAAGTGTTTTTGCCAAATTTGACACTGATATTGTTTAATACAACAGCAGCTATGTTTCTTTTCATCTTTATAAACTAACAGATGTTGATGGAAATTAATTTTTTGGTTATGGTTAAAAATCGATTCTTTTTGCTGTTCAAATTGGTCAAATCTTTTCAATTTTAGAAATGTATAGTGTAAAAAAGTGTCATTCATTTATATTAATTAAGTATCAGTAAAAATGTTACAGAAAAACAGCGTTTCAAGGTCTACTTCACTGATCTTTGAAATAAAAAATATCAGCATTTGAGCGACGACCCTGAGATACCTGGAATATTTTTCTTGCAAACAACTCTTCTCTACACTTACAGATTTTTGTGCAGCTAAAAAAATAACTTCAATTTGAGCAAATCTGCAGAAAAAAGTTTTAGACAGTTTTGATCTAAACGATTTACAGAATGTAATTAGTTGCGGTCATTTGTTGATTACTGGTTTAAGGGATGTTTAGAATCATACTGATTTGAATTTAAAGTATAATCGTTACAGATGAATCCATTTCAGTTTCCTACAAAAAAAAATTACTCTTAAGAGATCCAAATCAGCACCAAAAACGATCACACTGTTCAGTTTACGAGTTTGTAAATAAACAGCCGATTCAAATTTATATGATCTCCAGATTTCACTTAAGGAATTTCTTTGATCAACTCTGTATTCTGAGGAAAAGATTAGTGCTTTTTTTTGGCTTCATCACTCATATTTATTATCTGCCAATTTTAGCGAGCTGTGCAAGAAATTTGGCACAAAAGGCAGTTTTTAAGCGATTAACAAATGAACAGTTTTAGATTATAAAATAATACGAGCGCTTACTTATATTCCTCCAAACCTTTTAGCTCTGACTTTTTATTGGACTTAACAATGTCTTCTCAAAGGTATGACAGGTAAAAATAACAATTACTTCTTTTTTGATATAGTAATCGAACAGAATAAATTCATAAATTTTTTTCCTCATTTAACTTTTTATTACCTTATCTGTTTGATGTCATAAACTAACCAATATGTATCAGAGGAACTATTAATGAATAAATTTATAGCCAACAGACGACATGAGCAGCAATAAATGAAGTTTACAGAAGACTCAGAAATAATAGTTATTTGAATTAACTGTTTGAAAAAAACAATAAAAGTCTGGTCAGTACAACAACTAAGTACACTTTACAACTATATTAGTGTTGTTTGGTTTCCTAAAAAATTGGCCCTGAAAGCAGTAGCAAATATTTTTTTTGCAGCGTTTATTGAAATATCGCTTTACTTAGCGCAATTTTCAAATTGTGAGAATGGAATGCTGATAATGGTTGTGTTGCTCAGATATTTAGATTTTTACTGACCAAATAAACAGAATCAGTCGTATATTCTTGGTCAGCGAAATAACCGGCTGCTGATTTTAGCAGAGACTCTTCCACAATTGTTTCCTGTTCATCGCGCTCAGTACTATATGATACGTGCTGTGTTAGCGATTCTGATTTTTTTAGTAGGATATACAACAACACAGCCACAACATTGACTAGTTTTTCCAAATATATTCTATCTTCCAAATCAAAGCAATAACAATTAATAACTGTACTCCTTTCTAAATCTTTCATTATTTAGCCTCCTATGAATTAGCATCTCGATCGGAAAGGTGCCGTGGCCACAAATCCGATAACTTATCTTCAATAGTTTCTTTAAGCATTAGCAAAATGAGAAAGGAATAGACTTACCTCTAGCGTTATGGTTAATATCAGTTTTAAAGCTAATCGTTAAACTCTTGAATATCTTTACACTGGCTCCTTGTTGTGAGTAGGCTATAATGCCTTCAAATTAAAAATTTTTTTAAATACTCAAAAAAATTTTTTAACGAAGTTTACGAAGAAAAAGGGTGGGAGGAGTTTAGTGAAAAGACATGGGGCGGGGTGAAAAATCAAAGATGCCGGAAGAGGATGAATGAAGTCGGAGTAGAAAAAAAGCGTTTGTACGTTTTAGTTGTGCTAACGACTGCGCTGTATTGATCTGTAAAAATATTGAAGGAATGTTATATATCAGGTTTTCTGGGGACCGGGTGAAGTAAACTATTCATCAATGTGTGAAGT